TTACATTTTCACTCCTGTGAGGAAATTAAGCCCCTAATCACCCCAATACCTAATACCTCGACTGCTGAATAGTTAGAAAAATGCATAACTCTGTAGTGCATATAGATTTAAGCTTTCATCCCATCTCGGATCTCTAATTAGTTCATTTAAACAAAATTTAAACAAAAAAAGTCAAAGCACAGGGCTTCTCGTGGGGCTCAGCCAGTCAAGGTGCTTGCCCGAGCGCAGGCTGAGCTCAAGGGCCAAGATTTCACACCTGCATCAGACCCCTGACTGTGACCAGGGTCTCGCAAGAGGCGAGTAGAGCCGGTTGAACACCACTGAGGGGGGTTTGAGATTAGCTGGCCACGGCTCTCCTGAATCTCAGGGATTGGGAGTTTGCAGGCATGCCATGCTGTCAGTAAGGGAGGCACTTCACCTACGATCAGGTCTGCAGCTCCTGTGTGGGACCGTGTTGCCTGTGACTTGTTAAAATATAAATGATTTGAATGTGGGCGAGTTGATGGCATCTGTCCACGTTTCTCAGCTCTCACCACCCTGTGTGGTGATGTGGCTCACTGCTACAAGCTGACATGTGTAGACCACACTGGCTCTTCCAAATCAGTTGGGTATAACAAAAATAATTGGCACTGTCAAAATCACAAATCACAGACAAATCACTTTTTTTTCACGTTTTCCTATTAATCAGTTGCTTATTGAAAGATATTCATTAAACATTCATGAATCTGTCCATCACGGAGCCAATCTGTACATCAATGTCAGTTTATAATAATACAGTAAGTTTCATGTTTCATTTTTTAAAATATTATTTCAATTTAGCAGTGGCACATTAATTTAGACCTTAGCTTTTGGGGGTCTGGAATCCAGATTCGTTCTGGAAGAATGAGTACTCATCTCACTGAGTATTCATCTCAACCTCGCCCCCAGTGGACACACCATTAAATTACCTCAAACTGTGACACAATAGGATCCCTGCGAGGAATGACGATCTTCAGAAGAGAAGCCAAGTGCTCACAGGCACTGAGGTTGAACTATTTCACTCCTTAAAAGGCTGGTGGTTCCAGATCAGGACTAAAACACAGGGTGTGCCATGATGTGAACGTCCATACCCTAGGTCTTCTGTGCATAGTCGGGAGGCTTCAGCATAATGCCTCACCCATTAGAAATATTACGGCCGCCTAATGATAGAAAATGAACTTGCATTCAATATTAAGTACTACTTGCATGTCATATTTTTCTCTGAACTCAAGCAACTTATATAAAATGTTGCATTCTGGAACACAGATTTAAAAGATAAATATCCAAATGTCTTGGCAGCTACATTTTAAGTAGTGTCATTACTGAGAGAGAGAAGCCTGGCTCCGGGTGTTTTCTAAACATCGCTATTGTTCAGGCACTTACAGAAGTATAATGCCAGCTGTGGGGAAGAACAACAAGGGCACAGATATTTGGAAGAGTGATATTTAGAGTGCTAAAAAGACGTTGAATGTGTTGCACTGTTTTTCTGCTTTAAAACCATAAACATAGCTGTCCTTCTCCAAAACATCCTGAAATATATTACATTGTCTGAGCCATCATATTTGCATACAATTCTCAGTTCTTGTGTGTTTTACTAAATTTGGAAGCTGTGGTTTGGGTAACATAATGAGTAGACATGCATCCTCTTTTCAGCATGACTGTTGTAGCTCTATTTGTATTTTGTCACTGACCCTGATCCTTGATCTATGGCTCTAGAAAAATGATTAGTTGCCCATATGGAGTTATTTGGTAAACTGGCAATAATGCAACAACAGCATTTTTCTCCCCCTAAAACAGCATTACTCACGGTGCAGTAAATATTGCGTTCTGTGTACAATAATTCAAGAATGCATTTACTGTACAAATTATATATTTTTCTCAAAAGTAAATAGCACGACCATAGATGAAGTAAAATTAAGAAGTACAAGAAAAATGGCATTGGGATCCTCGTTTGGCATTGGGATCGTTTGTTGAGAGGCTCACCTCACCTGGTCGCCCCACGTCTCTACCGGAGGGCTAATGTCTCGTTCCCGACTCTGCCCAATAGCTTGAGCCCAGACCGAACCCTCTCGTCTGCTCCGTTTCTACCGCTACGCATAGGGTCCTCCTGTCTCTCCATGCTGACACCATGCTGAAAAGAGAAGAAAGAAAACCACAACGTTTCAGCCGTGGAGCCTTCTTCAGGTGTGCCAGGAACATTGAAACATTATGTTACATGCTGAAAGTTATAATGAGACACCCGTGTTTCTACAATTCCTTCAAAAATAAGATAGTGTTTTTCCTTGAAGCTAAGTAATTTGTGTGACATTTTGTCAGTGATTTTTGTTATATACCTGACCAAATGAGAACTGTGATGTTCAGTGGTGTGCTTTTAAGCCGGCTGTAACCATGCACGGATGAGGAATAGTAAACAGGTTCCCTTGACCGGCCCACCTTTGCACCATTCATCTTTCAACATATCAAAGGCTACACAACCCCATACAGGAGGTTCGCCATCCATTGAAAGAGACACAGATCCCATGACAACAACATCACATGCCCGCGGACCTGGAAAAGTTGCAGGGCTCTCTGTGTCTCAGGGAGCCTGGAGAGCCCTGCCCACTAATCCCAGCCCACCCTTGGTTGCTCTCTCACAGACTGAGCCCAACTGCATGGGGGTATCCCAGTCAAGATCAAACACATGACTCCTGGATCATAGAACCTTGTGTATGATTGCATAGATGGTGATTAATAAAAACATGACTAATATTATATGTGTAAATACACACACAGATTCTCAGTGGGGTTACCAAAAGCTGCTATTTTATCTTTTATTTTTCAGTTTTATGCATGTGTGTTTCTTATTTTTGTTAATGGGTTATGTTAAATATATTATGAAATGTGCAAAATGTCTTTTACCTACTGTACCTGAAATGCACATTTCCCATATGGGAAAGTGGGGATAAGGGCGAGAGCCCAGCCCAGTTTGCACATCACTTTCAAAACTGGTTGGTCTTCTTTCATTTTCAGGTTTCGTGGGTTTTGTCTGCTTTTTTTAGGAACATTCTCATGCCTAAAAAAATACCCTTCAAACAGAAGTCTTGAGCACATTGCATGATGCTGGAAAGTGGAATGATGTGGTAGTTTTGCAAATATAACTCTATTTGCCTATAACCCCTACTGTATTACCCTTATAACCTCCGGTGTAAAATAACTAGCACACATTACCCACAGTTTCATATTGCACTCTTTCTTAATTATTTCATGTTCTAAGACTGAAATTAAATGAAACTGAGCTAATAATGCCCTTTTCACTGGTCTCTGAGCCCTAGATGCCACATGTCATCCCAGATCCCAACGCAATGCAGTTTCACTGTGGCTCGGGTCTTGAAAGTAGGGCATCCGTGATAAACCTGTCACATTGTCATCTTGCAACAAAGCCTCTGTTACACAAGTGGCACATGGGTGTGCGTTGTCCTCCTGGAATGTTGTCATGTCGGGATGAGCCTGCAGCTCATCAGCCTGTGTATATTAGCCACATACTATAGCTGTCTAGCCTACACAAGACTCATTTAAAAATATTACTGCATGTTATCTTCAGTTGCATTGCAACTTCATCACCCTTATATGCAATGTTTCAGAATAATTAAATAACAATCCAATCAAGACAGTTGGCTTTTAGGTACCTGAAATACTGTATGTTTCAAGTAATTTCTTATTGGATAAAAACTCAAAGTAGTGACAGAAGTCTTTCAGTATTAATAGCCTGATGTAAGGAACACACCCATACATTAATTGACTAGGCAAGGTCTGGCAGCTCTTCAAATGCTATGTAACTGTCCATTAGTAGTGGAAGAAGAATTTACTTTACAATGTCCTGTCTACCTTTTCCATTGCCTTGAACGTCCACAAATATTGTCTCTTGTGTCTCTGTGTATTAGATCACTAATTCTGTCATACCCTTTTCAGCTGGAGAGCTCAGAACATGCTTTTTTTCATTATCACATCCGGGTACAGTTGATGTTGGAGAGGATTTATAAGTGTTTAGTGCTCTATCTATTGCTGGTGTTGGTCTGAGAGAAGAAAGAGACTCATAAGTTAATGTTATCAAGGTACTTAGTTTGAAAGAGTTAGAAAATCTAAACTCTGAGATAAAGGAAGGAACAACTAAATGCACATTGTGGTACGTGGCTTACTAATACCTCCAGTACAGAGGCTTATCCTCCTTTTGTGTGCTTTTTATTCCAGGGTGAAAACATTGAATGGAAGTGATATAATGGTATAATACTAGAGTCTAAAGGATTTGTTTTCTGTCACTAGTTTGGCATCACAGTTCACCACACAGCATAGCAGCTTATCTGGTGGATTTAAAAGAAGAGCTGGACAGACTACCAGACAAAATCAGGCCTTTTCACTTTATGACGATACCTGATAGTTATTGCAAGCCAATATTAAATAGCTGTGGAGTTGCAGTAGTAGCAATAATAATGGCAGTAGAAATATTTATAATAATATCAGGAATTTCATGACCCTTTCATGAAGTAAAAAAATGTTATTTATTAGCAGTACATGTTTTGTGCTATTATGTTTCAGGTATTGCTAAAAATGTTATATATATATAAGTTTACTATCAGGGCATCAAAATAACTGCTACACTCATAAAAGTATGAAGACCCCAAATGAAAGCCTAATGAAGCCCTAAGTTCATTAACGTTTGTAATCAGAAGCACGCAGACACCCTCATCAGGGCAGCAAGCAGTAAGGAGCCATTCATCAGCATGAAGTGTTAGTCATGGATGACCCCTAAATTATTACCAATAGTGGTAGATACACTGATTGGACACAGCAGGGGGAACACTGGCGCTTTACATCAGCCAGCAGTGGAAAGGGGGGGAGACACTTAAAAGCACTTAAAAGCTAAAAAACGCATTTTCCCGTTTGTACGCAGAAATGCGCATCTAACGCCGTGTTTGAACAACAGGATGTTCGCTGTCCCGGGCTGTGGCGCAGGAGACAGGCTGCAGTTCGCGGAGGCTGTGGGTTTTCAGCGAAAATGCTTCTGTAATTCGATCTCCCCTTGTTTCTAGTCGGTGTTGGTTGGTAGGGTCCTTGGCAGTTTCACATGTGTGCCTGTCAGTTTGAGAACCTTCATCTCTGGAGTCTTTTGCCTTCACTCCTGTATCTTCAGATTAGCTACTCTGTGTCCAGTGTCTCCGTTTCGATAACCCTGTTACAAACGGCCCAGCCCCCCTCCCTCTCCGCCACCAACACCATCATCACAGCCCCCCAGTGTTTCGGCATCCCGAAAGAAAAGTGGGCTCGGAGAGACAATCTGTAAAAAAAAAAAACTGAAAGAGCAGTGAGTGGGGAGACTGCTGGAGAAGTGTTTTGTCTGCCGATTCTTTCATCACGGAGCTGCAGTGTGTTGTAAAGAAGTTGGGACGTCTTTGGTGAAGTTTTGCCACGGTTCAGTACAATGGGATGCTAAATAAGATTACAGGCAGGTAAGGGCCTAAATTGCTTTGCGTTTTCCCACACTTCACAGTTGCCATTTTTTTCCTCTTAGTAAAATACTACAAAGCCAGTGTTAAAGATCACTGAAGTGTATTTGAGCTGAAACAAGGTTTGTATGTCGGAAAGTGTTTTTTTTTTAATTGCGTTTACATCCATTTTTATAAACACGTACCTTGTTAAACTGTACCGAGTTTCGTTGTTTATTTAAACGTAATGTATACAGATAATTTCTTTATAACAGAGCAGAGCAGCGGTATTAAATACAAATATCTTTTTCCCAAAATATTTGTATAGAGTAACGTGTACTGCAGACATATTCCTGTCAACAAAATCATTCAGAAACATTTGGTTTGACCAGACAAATATGGTCTTCTTGTTTAACAGGGCGGTCAAAACTATTCATGTGAAAGATATTGTGCTGCCGGAGATGCATTCGTAGCCTGACTAGGTACATACAGTAGTTAAAAGCTCAGCTGCACATCGCGCTTAAAGTAGGTAAGTGTTCGTTTCAGCCGGCACCACGTTATTTAAAAATTTGTTTCGTGTATTAAACTTGTAAAATTAACCACTTCACTCTTTCGCGTTAAATGACAAAATCGACATTGAATTTGTTTTGACGTTAAATCTCAATCTGGATTGTTTTGTTACTCCCGCTTTATTGTCATTTAAAGCCGAGTAACAAACCATGAGCAGGTTCCCAGAACTGAAAATTCACCATCAGTTCAATCAAACGCAAATAATCATTTAGGCAGACTGCTATGTCTGAGAAAAGACAGTCGTGCTGTGAAACAGTACTCTGGACATAAAAGTTCAGGAAAAGGCAATTAAATGGCTATTGTGCAAGGCATCGTGTTACTGATGGATCGTGCTTAATAGATTATTATAAAAATAAATTATAGTACATAAAAGCGAAAGCATTAATTTTCGATAGACCTGGATTGCCGGGTTGCGTTTGAGTAAAATATCTGTAATTTCAGCAGACGGGATCGTCTTGCTCTGTGTTTTTATCTTAAAGATACAGCTTCGTATATCAAAGTTGGCAGTCCTCCAAATCAGTGGAACAACATTGGGTATACGCATGAGTTATATAATATTATAAAGTGCATATTTAGCATTCTAAATACGAATACAACGCAATGCATAAAATAACGCATTCGAACATGTTCTGTAGTAACATACGGCATATCATTTTAACCGTGTTTTGAACAAAATATCTTGTGTAGCTAGTATCAAGATACTAGCTACACAAGTGTAACGACTGCTCAGGTGCTTCTGTCAGCAGAATATCCTGTTAATAAATGATATAGCTGCACCAGTACAGTAAGTGTTTAATAAAAGGTGGATAATAAAACCTTCTTGTTTGACATAGTAACCAAAATGTCTTTGTTTTCAACTGTCTAGGCTAGAAACGTCATTTTGTTTTCTCTCTGAAGGATAACTTGCATGTGCTATCAAATTTGGAAGTTTATTTAAAAAAAAACATCTATGCTATAAATCTATAGCTGTGTTTCACTGCGTTAAAACAGCCCATTGTGAATACTGGGAAAACTGAGACGACAGATAAAGTTCGATGAAAGATTCCTTGGACATCCTGGAAGATACTTTTGTTTAAATATAATGGGAACAGGATTTGCCCAAAAATGTTCGGGATATAGTCCAGTGTGGTATTTTGGAGAGAAGACCAACTCAGTAACATTTCTTAGTTTTATTTTTAATTAAAAATCCTCTTTGAGTGATACTGTAGTAAGTTAAACGGCTACAATGCTTCACTCACCTTTAACGGTGTTTTCTAAGTGGTAGATTATGAAACTGATGTATAGTGAGTTTTAAAGTTCATTCTTAAAAATAAAACTTGTTATAACATCAGTCGCATTAGGTTATTTATGGTTAGCTGCACAATTGTTAATTGCGAGTTATAAATCGTATAATTAGCTTTAGGGAGCTTTATTATTGTAAATTATTGTTTCTCCTTCAGATTATTTAGTTTCATTTTAACTGTTGCCGTCGTCGTCGTATCCCGATGTGGACCACGCTGTGGTCAAATGCAAGAGAACACACAAAATAGTGTACACCGTTCTTACCATGATCTCTGAATATCTACACGTCACTTGAACCGAAAATTTAAACAATTGAGCCCACTAGCAACACGCTAACTTTTTATGATCGAAGGGATCATAAACTTTGTTTTTTGTGTGTGCAGGTTACCAGATAAATTTTTGAGGCAGTGGAATCGTGTGTGGCAGATTATATTTAATGACTTTGTCTTTGCGTGAATTGTAACAAACTGAATTGATCAATTTTTAGACGGTATTAGATATTAGTGATACTGACTAATACAGCAACAGATATTTTTATTTAATGCCCTCAAATTGGATTTCAAGATGCACTAAGACAACTATTTTGGTCACAACAATCCTAATTATGTTTTTACAGACTGATTAATTGAAATGTCTTATAAAATCTGATTTATTTGGCACTTTTTTGTACAAGACATTACCATTATGAAGCTCTCCTTATAATTGAGATTAATGCATCCATTCAAAGAAACGGGTTAGAGGGTCGAATTCATTTTAAGTGCAGTTGTAATCAATTTCTGATGCAGCTTTTCACTTGAGCTCAGTCTGTGTCCAAAACTGTCTTATTATTTAGAATTATCTTATTGGTGATTGATAGAAGCACTTCTTAATCTTGAAATGTCATTTATTTCACAATAAGAGTAGTGATTCTTTTAAAGCCTTTGACAGGCAGAGAGAGGGAAATGTAGTTTTGGTTGGTCTCAACCTTTGTCAAAGTGAAATAAAAATGGATCCTTTAGTTATTTTGTACATGAAATTGGTGTCGTTTTTCAACAGTTTACAGGTGTGTTGTATGGAACACAATACAGATTATCACTCTTACTGAGAGCAGTGAGTCATTTCACAGCATAAATATTTAACAGATGAAAGTGTTTGCCTTCAGATGTACAATATAGAGTATAACCTATGAGTATGTGTAAGTATTAACCTACAGTAATTATGACATGAGAGTTTATATTGTTTTGGAAAGTTTCAGTAATATGTACATTTTAACAAAAAGTGGGCGGAGGAAATTGATTCCTTTATTTTCAGTTTACAAAACTGTTTGAAAATGTAGAAGCATGAAGCAGACGTCTCAGTTCTGTTACAATTATGTAATATATTTACTGTGGAGAAAAATACCTGGACTGCTTTCAGAATGTAATAGCTAATTGTTACTTTCCTAGCAATCCAACATACATAATTAGCTTAGTAGTTCAATGTAGTGCTTGAATAATGGTGAAATCCAGCATACTATCATTGTAACCTGTTTATATAAACTGTAAAATAAGTGGGAAAAATTAAACACCCTCATTTCACTCTAATGGTGTCTCTTTGATAATTTGAGAACAGGAACACCTCACTAAATATCTAAACAATGCTCTTATCTCACGGGCACAGGCTGAATGCTTAGTGTTTTGTTCAGAAGTAAAAATACATTTTACTGCTAAACCTGAGAGACGGTAAAACAAATCTTTCAAAACCTTGATGTGAAAGGTCAAAGACAAACAATGTAATGAAGTCTCCTTTCAGATTGAATGTGTTCTACATGCAGATTGTTATGATAGTAGGATGAGAACCTAATGGAAGTCAGCTGTGAAATGAGGAAAAAATGTTTTGCACACTCTACACCTGCTAAAACATTTGAGTCATTTTTGGGATGTGTTCATGTTTTGACATTGTATCATTATTTGCTTTTTGCAAGTAAAAGCAAACATTTTATTCTTCGAGGAAGAAAAACAAAAATAGAATAGTGCTGGATTCTGGGAAGAACGTTCTGTTTCCTAGTTTTAATTTCTGTCTTAATTTTTGTTGGAATAACTTGTGTGGTGTTACTGTATTCTTGTGTTAAAGCTGTAACCTTGTATTAAAGAAATCCAGTTGTTTGAGTGTAATAACTCAAGAATCATTGTGAAGGGAGTAAAAACCCCCACACAATAAATTCATTGTTTGAAATTAGTATTGATGGGGCAGCTCTCTGAGTTATTAGGAAAACATTACCATACAATCAATGTTTAATACCGTGCTCAAAATTATGAAGTTTTCTATTTTAGCTCATTCTGATGGAAGAAAAAATGTGGCACATCTGTGTTACATTCACAGTTTAAGGTGTGCATTTCCAGCATCATTGCTGCATAGTATTTCTACAATAAAAGATCTGTAAACTACCCTTTCGAATACAGGCAATTTTTTTTTATTAGGTTCTTCGGTTTTGGCACTTTGGAGTGGGAAGACAGATCAGTGCGGTGCATTGTTGATTTTTTTTATCTTTTTCATCTCAGGATATTTTTAAAGTTAAACATGTTTAAGAACCCTATTTTTTATCCCAGGGAGCAGCACATTACTTTTCCCCATGAACTCTTATGAAAAATTCATAGTTTTCTCCTTTACAGAGCACTAAAGGGTGCCATTACGGCAACTTCTAAAAATACTTCTGAAGCCTTGCGTGGAAAAGTGTTAAGATATTCTGCTTTTATACGGCTAATAGACAAATGCAATTTGATAGATATGGAAGTCTGTATCTTCTTCCCTTTAACCATAGGGATTGGTTTGGCGCTATTGTCAATTTCCAGTGTGCCACAGAGGCCACTTCTAAATCTTAAAGCTAGGAACTTCTGTCAGCAAAACCTGTCATTGGAATCCACATAAAAAAGGTCTCATATTAGATGCAAGTGCCTGCTTCAGATTAGTTTAAAACGGCACATACAATCATCCAAAATGGAAACAACAGTACTAGATGCATATACCAAGAAATTTGAAATGTGAACTTCAAGTGGAATTATTAAAATGCTTTTAAACACTTAGCTAAAATGATCAGTTCTCTATTATTGACTTATTAACAAACTTAAATGATACTCTTCCATCAGTACAGGATAAATAATTTTATCCAGTTAGCGAAGGTAGTGGTGTTGGCTCTCTGTACAATAGCTTGGCATTTGAAAGCTCCGTTATCAATAGTATTTAGGTAGCCATTGAGCTTTAAAATCAGTCATAGACAATTTATTATTTATTAATTTTTCCACGTAAGCTTAGTAAAATCAGGATATGGTAAGAAAAATACTATATTTTCCAATCAACGTAGTTTCCTGGAATTTATTGGCGTGCACAGTTAAGAACGAATTTTATATAAATTGTCATGGATAAAAACCATTACCCCTCGTATGAAACAACACTATTGACCGTTTAGTTGTGGTTTCCAGTTTCAGTTTATCAAACTACATATAGACTTGTGTATAATGTTATATTTTATCAGTGCTATTTTTTTAAAGTTTATTGAGCACTGTTTTATCTACATGTATATGGGTTTGTAGAAAGAAATAATGTTAATGACGATCACCTGACAAAGTCTGTTCGATTTGATTGGTAAATATGGATTAGCCATCACAATATTTTATATATTGACTGCCGCTGTGTAGTTTTGTGTGATCACATTTTTTAACA